ATGGACTTGTGCCAATCATCTTAGATAATCACAGGAAACAAGTGTGTGAAAGTTTCAATCCATTCCCTTCAGTAGTTATGGAGATACACCAGCTTACATACAAAAACTTAACCACAGGGACGCCGACGCCGACAAATGGGTGACTGCATTAGCTCGATTATTCTACGAATAGTCGAGCTAAAAATAACCACACATATAGTGTGTAATTGGCGTAACTTACTTGACACTGCCATAACTTTCTATAGCTGGCTTCCATTTCTCAAGTTCAAACTCTAAACTACCTCTCATATAATGCCTATAAGCCTGAAAATAATATACATCATTTATCAACCTATAAGTCTCTCAATTCTGTAAGGATTATCATGTATATTCTTTATTGTCTGTTTATTATTTTACTGTAAACAATACAAATCAAATTCAAGCAGCATGCATCCCTATTTATGCTTATTTTCATAACAGTTTGGAAATGTTTAAGAAAAAATAATATTGTGTGAATAAAGAAAGTAATTTACACATTACAAATGGCACTTACAAACCACATACATTTACAGAATAGAGGTCAAATTTTCACACAGTAAAATATTGGGATATATACTGCAAAATCAATCAAACATTACATGTAAATTATTATTTGAATATTTTATAATTTTTTTTACTTTTCTTAAAACATTAAATCATTTTTCACAAGTTAATTTACTAAAAAATATTTTGGCTAGTCTGGAGGCATACAACTTTTAAGCTTTTAACTTGTCATCAATAAAGGAAAAGATTACTTACATCTTAAATGAAACCATACAAATTTGAATGATTTTCTTCTGGTTAAGAAACAACCGATGCAATTATGTAGTTATGATGTGAATATTGTTAGTTCCCTGAACCTTTTTTCAGCCTGTATTATATAAAACATTATTTCAAATCTTTCTTACCTGACTTTCTAGTTTAGTTCTTGCATCACATTTGTCATGTTCACATAATGTATACAGTTCCTCAGCGTAAACAACTGCTTTCTTCAGTTTGGAGATCATATGGAAGCGCTTACGAGGTTCTGTGTTTGCTTCCGACTTTAACTGCATGGCATAAGACCACGCTCTTTCAGCAGAAAACAGAGGCAGATGCACATATCTAAATGAAAACAGTTCAGTGATACTGAATTAAATGACTATGACTGCATATTTTTGAAATTATTTTTTCTAACTATATTTTGAATTTGTTCCTATCATTTTTGAATTTGTTCCAGCCATTTAAGTAAGGAGACGGCAAATATTATGAATACAACACTGTCAAATATCAATTAAAAAGAAATATCAATGTTGCTAGGAAACCTTGGAATATATACAGTGTTTTTTTTCTTTATATAACTACTACCCTAAAACGGTACTGTTCCAAATAGAAAATAGACATTAAAATTCCCAATTTCCAATGTTTAAATTCCCAAAATGGCTTTTCAAAATTTCCACAAGGCCAAAAGATTTCTCTGAAATCATTTAAATCCAACATATTCATATAAATCAACACTCATTAGTTCTATCTGGACAGTGGAAGCTGTTAGCTATCTTTATTCATGATGACTATCTTATTTGTAGCTGAAAAAAATGCATAATTTTTTTTTTTCCTCAATTTAAGTCAATATAACGCATTTTTCCCCAAATCAGTCTTGGTAACCGGCACCATTCCCAAGGTAAGAAAAAAAACACTGATATAGTTTAATTACCTGACATCTTTGATTGCATCCATATTATTTTCTTGGGATTTAACTCTTTTCTTTATCACCCTTGTGAAAGTGTAGGAGACTTTTCGTATTTTCTTTTGATGCGCTAGAACAGTAAAAACCCCTGAAAACAAATAGGTGAAATACATAAATAAGATTAAGAACACAAAGCTATCAGTGAAGGTAACAAATATACTTCAAGATGTTTAAACAGTTTAACAGGGGGGGTTGTCTTTATGTTTTTTGTATTTTGCATGTAAGTTCTTGGCATTCTGTTGTCATCCTTCTTCCCCATACAGCCAACCATTAACACCTTTTACTGTTATTATATCACTCTTTATAGATGTACTTCTTTTATTTAGTTTTTGTTTCGTTTTTCTTTGAATTTATGTTCCTATTTTTCCTTTTTAAAAGGGAAACCACTTAGGTTTCTTGACATGATGGGACTGGAAGAATTTTTTTTTGAGATAAATGATTCAATTTGATATAGGTTTCTAGACTTGTAACTTAGTTGCAAACTTTCAGAGATCATTCGCTCTCTGTTTTTCCTAGAATATTTATTCTTATGTCCCAGCTGATCTATGTAAGAAATTTAAATTTTATGTTTTAGTCCTTCGGACTTCAGTGGAGTTCCTTCAAACACAAACATGTACTTGAAAAAATATTTATACTGTTGAAAATCTGCTCGAATTCAAATGCATGCCATAATTCAAAGAAACTTGTTAGCATCCACTTGTGTTTATACAAACTGCTGGTGCCAAAATTCTATGACTTTACCATTATACTAATTGATTTTTCATAATACAGACTAACAGTACCAGTAGAATTGGTATGAGCTGGTACATGCAAGTCTCCAATATGGTGCAAACAACATTCCTGTCTGTGATATTTAATGTTATTTCAATTCTTTTCAAATACATACTTTAAGGTTTTACTTTAACTTACCTGTATCTCTGGAAGTCTCCATGTCGAAGCCCATGTTGCTGTTGTGCTTCCTTAATAATCTGTTTTAAAACTGGGGAAAGAAAAAATTGATATACACATGTTAAACAAAAATAATCACCCAGATGCTAAAATAAATATCTTACAAGTGAATGTAGATTCAACTTTACTTTAAAAAAATCTCTTTTTCATGGTTTGAAACAGCTTGCAAAATTAAGTGAATTTTTTGAAATTGTGAGTGTTTATATTGTTTCACTCATACATTTTTGCAAGTCATTTTCATTAAAAAGAAAGAGCCACCTTTTATGTGGCAAGGCATGGCAGGATCTGTGTAATTTCTAAAGACTACATGTAAGCTAGTAGTATATATAAGCTATTAGTAATATGATGGGAGACCTCGGTTCTTTCATTTAATCAGGAATGACCCACATACTTTAATGTCAAGTCCCCCAATTTAAGTTTGTGACTGACCGCGATAGTGCTTTTGCAATCGAAAAAACATCTGCATCATTAAAAGAAATGTTCAATGCCCGTTTAAAAGTGATCAAGGACCCCTGTTCCACGTTCGAAACTTTTTGCTAATTTTATGTTTGCTACATCAAATTCTACTGTATTAAAGAGTCTTCATAAACAAAAAAGATACCAGATAAATGTAACATTTTAACAACTTATTACACTGTAATCATAAAATTAAGAAAACAACACAATGAAAAAAAAAATCAATTTATAAACAATATATACATTAACTGTCTCATCTTCACAATCACTCTTCAATGTTTAAAACTGATTGTTTTTCTTTAAATAAGTGTAAACATCAATGTAGAAACAAAACAAGATGCTGACCCATTGAAAAAAAACCAGCCTAACAGGTGTCTCACTAGGATTTTCAAAATAGGAGTTCTGAGACTCCCAAGCCATAAAAGGTACGAGTTCCCAAATAATGTTGACTATGGTAAGCCATCTTTGCTGCATTTATGCAATTGATGTATATGATGAATAAACAGAATAAGGGTGAGGGAGTCAGAAATTGAACAGAGAAAAAAAGCTTATTTAGGAAAATGGTTATACTCCCAAATTGGAAAACACTGTATCATAAAAAAGTGATTGAAAAGATCTTATATATAATTTACCCTACATCTTCAGACAATTATGCCTGTTTTCTTCCTGATTCACTCCAAACCCCCCCCCCCCCCCCCCCCCAGTATGTGATACTGGCAAATATCTCCATCTCAACTAATGTAAGCAATACCTTAAGTAATTTTAATTCATAAAAACTACATTTTAAGTGTTATAAAACACATTTTAACAAAACATAGGTTCATTTGGGTTACCTTTTTTTTAATTATAAAAAGCGGCATCACGAAAATATGTGACAAATGAGATTTTGTCTGTTTCCTGCAAAAGACATTCTAGTTGTTGTTGATTTTGATACTATATCAGATTAAATATTTTTTTATTATTTTAAAGATTGTTATTCATCAGCTTTTTCAAGATGTATCATAAAACAAAAATTAAAAATTTTTTAATTTACGGCAAAATTTCCCGTTGATGGTGTAAATTTTTGAAGAGACTGGATATTTAAAAATTTCTTTGAGTCACCGGAAACTTATTATCAAACAGCTCATTGACATTTTTAGCTTTTTGAAAATTTATTAACTTGACGGTAACAAAGTATTTTTCGGACAACTTGATTTTTATTCAGCCATGACTGATAGCTGACAGATTTTTGCACAGACTGACATTAATAGCACCCTAAAAACAACCTGTTAATCCATTATCACATATGCTGATTGACCACCGCTGTGTATTAATTAATTGTGGAGGCCGATTCTGCAAGTGCTACACGAATGATTGGAAAAATTAAGCACCACAGTGACTTTTATGGCACAGCGGTCAGATTGATTTAGAAATTAAGGCACAGCGGGAGATGTATTACATCTATATTATCCATAGAAATGATAAAAAATGTTTCAGTTTATTACTCTTTTTTTTGTTCCCATGAAGAAAAAACTTTGATCGTCAAACACCAACCAAAGTGCTTGGTAAAGCAAATGAGCGAGTCTGATATGAATTACTTGAATGTTTACATTTTAATTTCGCTGTCAAGTAGCTAGCATCCTAATGTACATGACTTTTAGGTTAAAACATTTTTAAACTAAAAATTTTGGCAGAATATTTCATCAAAATACAGATCCGCTATTGGCTATGATCTACTATTGGATAACTGTTGAGTAACTCACTGTATTTATTATTGTTTTAGGTTATTTAATTAGAAGTGGCTAGCTGTAAGGGGACAAATGTGTGTTCTTGGTTAAAATACTTGTTTAAAGACACAAAATATCATATGCATTTTCAACTTTCAAGTAATTTTGAAAATTTGAAATGTGCTGTACGGCTGGACAATACAGTGTATCCTTGCTAGCCGTATGTGACTCACGTATGGCTAGAATTTTTGGCCGTATGGCTAGCCACTTCCTACATGTATTTATTTTAAAAATACTGTAGTCTGTATGGCTAGGCAGGCTATCCTCAACACAGTCTGCAAAATTAGCAGTTGTCCTTTTGCCCAGACAACCATTTTTTGGTCTGGACATCCAATTTTTAAAAGGGACAAGTAAAAATTTGCTGACAGTATTTATCAAAATGTCAACAAATAGTGAAAAATGCAAAATATCAAATACAATAAGTTTGCTTACATTTATGACTGTTCTCACTGAAAATAAGTTTGCACATTTGATAAATAATTCCTTGGAGATGTTCTGATGAAAATATTCGGGCAACCAGTTTACTTTGGACAACCAGATTTTCTTGAATTGGTTGCCTTAATGACAACAATTTTTAAACCCTAATTTCACAGACCGTCAACAGTGTGTATAGGCTAGTCATATGTGACTCACATATAGCTAGAAATTTTTGCCAGCAATTCGGGCCCTTACAGCTAGCCACAGTCAAAAATATATATGTACAGCTATCCTCAACAGTACATACAGGCTAGCCATATGTGACTCACATACGTCTACAACTTTTGTCTAGCAGTGCAGGCCCATAGAGGGCCATACGTCTTGGCACTTCATTTTCACTGACTTTTGAAATTACATCAAAATTATGCAAATTGAAACCAAAACAGCAAAAGAGTTGCTTTAAAAAGACACTATTTGATGCACCATAAAAATTTACATATAAGCCGTTGTATATTATGCTTATTGCTACATCATTAACCCGTTTGGCGACACCAAAAGGGGACAATGCATTAAATTATCTAAAAACTAGCCGGTAAAAATCCATATGGGCAAAAAAAGTCCAGTAAGTAAAGGTAAATTACAAGTATTAAAACAAGTTTTATCACATAAAGCCATCGGATTGTTCAACATTTGTATTTATTTAATTACCTTCTATTGTGAATATGTTTGTCTCCGCTGTATTTTCGTTATTTTCGCTGGATTTTTGCGTTTCATCGCCACACATGTCTTCCTCAGCCGCCATTTTGATTGACACGACTCACGGTGATCGTTTTCATACAAAGAGCGTGTGAAATCTTTATAGGCATGAATACTCTAAATTACCTTGTTCAGACAGAGATAACGGAGATAGGCAACTTCCTAACCAGTTAAAATATCACGCGTTCCTGCTAAACTTAAAACTTGTAGCAAGTAAAACTTATTAACCTGATATCAAAATCAGGAAAATAATACATTTTCGTCTATGGCTGCAGGTAAAAATATTTACAGTTCCCATTTAAATAAATAATACATCAATTTTTAAAGAGAACTACTTAATAATTTTGTTAAAAACTATTCATAAAACGAAAGAACTGGCTCAGTGGGTATGTTCTGCTATGTTTTTCTAAGTGAAAGGCATGGAAAGTTACCAATATTTTAACTAAAAGATTTACCTTTCAAATGGTATATATATTAAAGGATCAAATGTACATTCATTAAGTTTTATTTGCTACAAAATGCCGAATTTTTCACTTTTTGATAGGCATGAGTGACATTTCAATTCCAGAGTATATAGGAGCTGCTTATCTCTGTTATCTATGTTTCTGTAAAAATCGACTTAATTATTCTCAATTATCCAATTATCTACTGTATACATCAAGTATTTTTCTTAGTTGTAATAGAGACTGCTATCATTACATAAGTCTGAATGTAAGATGTAGTTACATGGCAAAAAAGTCAAGGTTGGTAGAAAATAGCACAGACACTTAGGGTGTGGAGCTTAAAACGCCTTTAAAATCCAAATAAAATGTATATTTGTCAATCTGATCATATAATTATATCAACAAAAATTAATATAAGCTAGCCGTTTTGAAAAAAATTCAAATTTCAACGTAATTACAGTAATATTATTTTGTAGAAAACATGGCAATTATACATGTAACTTATTTCATGTAAAGCAATATTTATTATACCTGAGCATTATTTATCGTATCTGAGACCACTATTAAACACCCACATACAAACACGCACACACACACAACCCCCCCCCCCCCCCCCCCCCCCAAAAAAAAAAGAAGATAAAATAAGAGAAAAAACAACAACAAACGATCTATGAGCACGCTATGAAGAATGCATATAAAAGTTTTAAATTGCTAAAAATACAAGATTAAAAAAAATATTTTGGAACAAACAGAAACAGTTATTGGTGTGTTAGTTATTTAAGAAATAATATATCCTAAACTGTGATTTTATTGCTCAATAACATCACTGTTTGGAGTTCGGATGCGGGGAATTATATCACGAGGGCGTAGCCCGAGTGATATAAAGATGCGCATCCGAACGACAAACAGTGATGTTATCAAGCAATAAAATCATCGATTTGGATATATTATTTCGATTCTAACACGACATCAACAAATAAATGCTACCGTACATGATAATTAGCTAAATTGCGTCTGATTTGTTTCCGTACTTATTGTCAGCGCGTCACATTTTAAGTGGTTACGTCACGTGTATAATGATTACGTCACATGTCTAAATATAGAACGTCAAACAGTGATTTTATTGCATAATAACACACACTTTCGGTTCTTCTATG